GCCGTCTTGCGTGACAAGGAAGAAGGTATCGCCCGTGGAGTGAAGCCTGTCTCTTATACACATCTAGATGTGTATAAGAGACAGAAAGTGGGCTTACGCAGGGTATTTGAGGGGAAAAAAAAAAAAAAAAAAAAAAAAAAAGGACATTCGCGGGCCGCTAAGTGGAGGTCTGCATAGTGATGTGTCTTGACCTTGTGCATTGATACCCGGTGCTCTACCTTGTCATCATGGTAGAGGATGGGGCTGTCATAGCCTGGAGGATGCTCTAACGCAACAACATGCGTACTTCCCCTGCCAAAAGGTAGATCGCATCCAATACTTGCTTCAAAATGGCAGAGTTATCCTCAACATTTTGTCCTATAGTACGCCAATATACAATGCTGCAGATTACAATGCGGCGCCCACCGATGTCGGGGTGAAGAGTCTATCACACCGGACCTCTTCTTGGTGACAACCTTGTTACATCCCTTGCAAAATCTGCTTTTTGGTCCTCCCAAGACCTCCCCTCCATGTACCACCGCTCTCCCCTCTCAAGTGCTCGGATCAGCTATGGTCTGGCTCTCCTTGCCTCTCCCGGTCACTAACTGCGCCTAACGCTCATTCCTCTTGCGCGCCTCCGTGCTGCAGCCTGGGACTGCGTGGGCCTCTCCCTATATGGCGAAGGCAGGAGCTGGAAGGGTCCGTAGGCACTGCCTTCCCGTCCTTTCCACTAGCGGCCGTGGCCTTCTGGGTTCTCAACCACCTGGCTGGTACCTACTTTGGCCTGAGCCAGCCTTACAAAACTGGATGAGCTCCGTTTCCTCTTGAGCCCTCACTTAGGGTCCAGGCGTACATTAGGGGCTTATTCCAAAGACTGTAAGAGCTTGAGTAGTACTGATGTTCAAGTGATGGCGTTTTCCGTTTTGTGTTTTATAAAGCCCAGGGTGTTGTAGAGGCCAAGGACCAGACCCGCAGTGATTGCTGGTAGCGGCAGCCAATGGTTGTCCTGACAGGATAGGCCACCTACCCTACCCATCCCCACGTTAATACTCCCAGCGTACCCCCTGTCCCTACTATCGTACCTCAGTGTGACCAGCACTCAGGACCGTCACCCTACCAGTATCGAGGGCAACTTGGACCAGACAGCCAATGGAAACGGAAGCGGACGAACCTTGCCGTACGGGCATTTTCCCTTCTCATCCACATATCCAACACTTAAACCACCAGTACCTTTCCCTGCTTGAAAACCAAATGCCCGCCGGTTAGCATGGGAGGTGGGCAGGCTCGGGACCACCAGCGCGAAATGGTTGGTGGCACCAGCCAAAATGAGACCCGCGCCGGCTCTTTTTTTTTGGCGCGCAGGGCAGTTTTAGGTTTGGCATGGATAACTGAGAAAGGTACTGGTGGTTTAAAGACTTTCTAACTAAGGGCCTCGTTAGACCCTCCTTGAAAATCCTCAGGAATGTCGAAAGTTATGGTTACACCGCGTCCTAAAAAACAAAAATCCTTGAAAAAATGTGAAAACGCTCCCAAGGGATTTCCTTGGGTCCCTCGGAATCCCCAGCCATTGCGTCCTTGGATTCAAGGGGTTCTCGAGAGGTCCCTTGGGCTCAAGGATCCGCGATAGACGGGCCGTCGTTGAGCGTGCGTCGACACGTAAAGTTTCTGTTTTTGCTGGTGCACATGACGTCCGTGGTCCATCGGGCGGACAATATCGGCTTCCAACTGGCGGGAGGTCACCAACGGCCTTGTGGTGTTACCGTTCCCGCGTACACAGCCGGGGGTCCCACTTCGGGTGCGACAGACGTCAGAGCGGTGGGGTTCTCCTTCTGCGCTTCGTCGGGCGTCGTGTCCAACGGTCGAATATTTCGAAATTTGTTTTATGTGCGGGGTGTGATGTTGTCGCCGACCGGCCCGTTTGCTGCCATCCGCGTGCGCGCGTGAGGGTTGTCCGTTCGGTGGTCATCTACACGTGGTGCATTTCATGGCAGACATCTTCCGGCGGCTACCACTCCTGTTACTAGCAACTCTTCTGCTGCTTCTTCTCGTCTTTTTGCGCGCCTTCGTCGTGCCGCGGCCTCCTGGGCGTAGACAGAGACGACAAGTGGATAGGAAGACGACGATGGACAGACGGGACAGCTCCGTCGGACAGCAAAGACGAGTGATGGATTTCTCCATTCCTGATCGGCCCCTGTCCAGCCATCGACCCGCCGCATATGACCCGTCCTTGTACAGTCATCTTCCACCGTACGAGCAGCCGTTGCCGCCGGATCCGGAGGACGCCTGGGTTGAGGATCTGTCGCACACACTTCCTCTGGGGAGTGGATCTACGCAAGAGTGGACGAGCAGGCAGTGCCAGCAGAGGGAAGCAGGGACCACGCACGAGTCGTTCACCGCATTGTTGTAGGAGGGTGTTGACAACGCCACCACGGAGCTTGTGGACTTGGATTTCGGATTGTGCAGCGGGAGTGGTGCAAGTGGTCCGATCCACGGCAGGGGGGTGGTGGGAGCGCCGACGTTAGAGAGAGAAGGTTAACAGCAGTGGTATTTTTCATCACCACTTCAGGACACCCTTCACCACTTCAGCATGCAGCCTGCCTAAACAGGTGGTTTTCAAGGTCTTCGGAACTTTCACCACTTTAGGACCATTCAGGTCTGAAAATCCTGAATGGTCCTGAAGTGGTGAATGCTCCGAAGACCCTGAAAACCACATGTTTAGGCAGGCTACATCCTCAAGTGGTGAAGGGTGGTTTTCATGGTCTTCGAACCTTTCACCACTTCATGACCATTCAGGATTTTCAGACTGCCTAAAACTCTTACGTGACCACTTCAGGACACCCTTCACCACTTCAGGATGCAGCCTGCCTAAACAACTGTTTTTCAGGGTCTTCGGACCTTTCACACCACTTCAGGACCATTCAGGATTTTCAGACTACCCAAAACTCTCATTTCAGAATTTTCATTCCTGAATTTTCAGATACCTGATAACCGCTTGTGACATTCGGAGGAGGATCGTCCGGTGTCGGTGGGTCGACGAATGGGTGTCGTCCACTGGTTTCGAGTTCCATGGGCGCCGGGCCACTTGGCGAGTCGTCAAGGGCAGTGACACCCACCCGCCCCTCGGTGTCTTCGCCTGCAATGCGGAAGAGGGCGACCGCAAGTGCTGCAATCAATGATGGGACTCCACCGGAAGACATCGGGAGGCAGGCGTGGGAGAACTGCCGCCTACAGATGCGGCGTGCTGCCGCGGATAACATAACCACCAGTGTGTCCAGGCTGCGTGTGGGGAGCGACGTGGATGCGGACGACAGTCGTCGGGCGAGTGGGGACGAGTCTCCGGATTTCCGTTACGAAGACGACGCGGAAGACGGTGAGGGGCTGGAGATCCGACCCGTGGTTGCGTGTGGTGGGCGGAGGGGAGGACGCGAACGTCAGCAGAGGGGCGAGTCGTGTGGGCCTAGGATCGAAGGCTCCTGTGGACGACAAGGGTGGCAAGCACCCAGCTTGGAGTGTGGAGGAGATGTTGAAGCTCACTCGAGCGAAGCGGGATCAGCAAGCTCATTTCGAGGGAATGTCGCACAACTACGGCCGCATGCGCAACAAGGAGTGGAAGCTGCTGGACCTACAGAAGCGGCTGGCGGAGGTCGGAGTGAACAGGGCAACGGATGACATCAGGAAGAAGTGGGATAACGTCTTCCAGCAGTACAAGAAGGTGCAGTGTTACCAGAACATGTTCGGTGGGAAAAACTTCTTCACATTAACTCCTGCAACGAGAGCGGACGAGGGCTTCAACTTCCGAGTGGATGAGCGAGTCTTTAATGAGATCGACAACATGTCAAAAAATAACAAGACCATCTACCTGGACAACGTGGTAGACACGAGCGCCCGCGGAGGAGTGCCGCCAGCAATGGATGGTCACCGCCAGGCGGCCATTGGTGGAGAGTCCTCTGCTGGTGGAGAGGGGGGTGATGACATCGACGAAGATGTGGGTTCAGCGCGGGAGTCGGGGTTCAGTGCATGGAGCACGGACACTCCAGCGAAGAGGAAGAACATGCGGCAGCAGACCTTCGACGCCATCGCCGAAGTCATGGACAAACACGGTGCATTGATGGCGGACACGATAGAGGGTGCGAGCAAACGGCAGTGTAGTATCCTGGAGCGGTAGTGTGACATCCTGGACTAGGAGGTTGAAGCCCAGAAGCGGCAGTGTGACATACTAGAGAGGCATTACATGGCGTTCGATGAAGCGAACGGGATGATGTGCACGGCGTTGATGGAGATTGCCAGAGCGATAAGGGACAGATCTTGACGCCGGTGGCGTGAGGTTTGTTAAGCCGTTGTGGTGGATTCGCCCGCGAACTGGCCCGTGGCGAAATGTGGTGCCGCTCCTCCGACAACGACAGAAATCCAGGAAACAAGGCGGGGGATGGTGTACGCGATGGCCGTCTACCATCGTGCACTGCGAAATGTTGAGTCGCTGGCCCTCCAAGGCAGGGCCGTCCATTCCCTGGACCGCACTGTCCCTCGGTATTTGGGGTGGTCTGCCCGCATGCGGAATGGGTGATCGTCGTTGCCGTCGCGTGGAGGGGTGTGTTGGAGGCCGTCTGGGCGGGATCCGCGCACCGAGGGAGGGGAAATGTCACCGCGAGCACTATAAAGGTCCGTGCGAGCGCTATCTTGTCCATGTCTTTTGATTCTCGACTGCACGCAAGGCCACCCGTGGGGTTTCCGTTGTGCTGCGCGGGGAGCTGAACATCGCCCTCGCAAGACGATCCCTGTTGACTTCCTCTCAAGCACTGTGGCAGTCTGCTTTCGTTCACGGGGCGTACGCATCCGACCGTCAACGAATGGCGCCACGTGGCCAGCAGAAGGCGAAGCGTCCACACGGTGGTTCCGGCGAAGCAGGTGCAGGGCAAATAGGAAGGGGCCACGTCCCAAAGTCAAAGAAGCTCCGCGCGGGAGATGGGTCGGAAGGCGAGATGGGGGGTGACGGGGGAGAGGAGGTGACGCCTATGGACATCACTTCTGCAGGGACGCCTGCGCTCGGGTTCGGGTGAGACGGTGTGAGCAGGCAGCGTATGCTTGCGGTCACCAACCTTGGCGTCCTCACGTCCACTCGCGTTGGCGGTGGCGGAACGGTTCGTGCGCAAGGAGTTCTGTCCGGTGACATTCCGCCGCAGAGGACCGTGGGTTCTACATCTACCATCACATCCGTGTCCGAGCGCGGTGATAAAGCTCCGGTCGGTGAGTCTCCATCGCGCCACGTGGAGGCGTCGAACCCAACGATCGTCGGCGCTTCACCGAGGGTTGTGCTTCAATCCGCGCAAGCAGCGAGCGCCGTTGGCCATGCCGTCGCCCTCGGTAGTGGAGAAAGGCGAGAAGATCGGAGGGTGGAAGAGGCGGGGAGAAAACAAGAGAGGGAGGGAGGAGAGTCCGCGTGGGGAAGAAGAGGACGACCAGCCTCTGAGCGCGAGGAAGAAAAGGTCCCGCTAAGAGCAACAGTTGGAGGCGAAATCGAAGCTGTGGGTAGACGTCAAAGCGTTCTGGGCAACCGGCCTCGGACGGATGATCGCGGACGCAGTGCATTCCTGCGCGGACTACTTCTGCGCGATCGTCAATGGAGATGCAGGCGCCAGCGCTCCGCAAGGCCTCATGATGGCACCCCCCGAAGTCCCGTGCGTGCGGATCGAAGATGGCGTGCAACGAGAGCCAGCTCTCAGACGGGCGAGACGAACGGAGAACGTGGCAATGTGCGTCATCCACGGGTGGATATTCAGGTCGTCTTCAAGGTCCGATGGTTCGCCCGCGCGGAGTCCTAGTGCCGCCCGCCGTAGTTTACCACACGGTCGCTTTGAAGATGGACATCCCAGTGTGGTTCGTCGGGGCGTATATCGAGAACAGGCCGGAGGACGATGACATGGCCGCGCACCAGGAGGCGACTGTGATGCATCTTGCGTCATGCTTCCACGGGCCGGGCAGTGGTGGGACGGCGGTAGATTGTCACACCAGAGACTGAGCAGAATCGGGGATGCTTTCCGCCTGCTTCTCGTCGCGTGCATGTGGGTCATGCGCATGGGAGGCGACGATGCACGCTCCTACAAGGAGGCATCTTACTACGCGCAGCTGGTGACGAAGCCTACTCTCGTGGCGGCGTGTTCATCGTCCTTCAACTGGCGCCGCCATATGATGCACTCGGCGAACGCGGTATTGAGTCGCCTGCGGAAGTCACCGTTGACGTTGGGCGCTTTCCCTGACTACATCCAGGAGTGGGCTTCGTGCGGAGTGCGGTAAAATTGCAACGCTGGTCTGGCGGACCCCGACGTCGCGGCGAGAGTGGACTGGATGGGGACGGGACCTTTTGAAGGCGATCGGAAGGAGGACGGTACAGAAGATGAAATGGGAGCGTAAGTGTCCTCGATATGGCCGTCTTGCGTGACAAGGAAGAAGGTATCGCCTGTGGAGTGAAGCGGTTCATCATTGAGGTTTGGACATGGCGGGGAATGGAAGTGCCGGATCGGCGGGGGG